AAGTTCAGCACGCCGCACAACTTCCTGTAATTTCAGACAAGAATTCCGGTCCTGTAATGAGACTTTTAAAATCCCTTCGGAGACTCTGAGGCAAGAAGCCGAAATCCTCGGTCAGAATATGAGTAACTTAAGAATGATTGTTTCACGTATTGCCTTTTCCAGGCTTGTCATCTTTAAAGATGAAGCCTTTCACTTGTTAAGAATAATTATTTACATGCTGTCTTTGAAAATTGTCCTTAATTTCAGCACAGTTGAAGACAGCTGTTTCCTTAATGATTATCCATACAGAATCTTTTATTTTTGTTTTATTGTTTTTTTTTCCATTTTTTTTGTCCTATTCTGTGTCTTAGGTCTTTTCAAATTTAACTTATTGTATGTTAACGCCACATTGCCATAGAGAGGCATGTGGCCGCCCAGTTTTCTCAAACAAGAGAGAAAAAGTATGTTTTCTGTTTAACGTTGCTGTTGGTTAAGTTAATTTATTTTTATATCTGAGAAGTATGTCTTGGTTCAGTTTTGTTATAAGCTCTGGGGAGCTCTCAAAATGGGAGACAACAATAAAACAGTTTTTAAAGCGATGCACGATTCTGGTTGCTTTTTCAGTTGCTCACCTTTGACCATAAGGCTGACACATGACAACTTTAGTTCAAAATGTGGAGATGTCACCAGAAGGGGAAACATTACGCACTCTAATACACAGATTGAAATGCACAGTGGGAAATATTGCTGCTCACCAGTTCAAAACAACACGGGACAATCACCTCATGAGGAGCAAAACATAAATGAGACACCACGAAAACCAATCTGAGGTGAATTAACCGTGGGATGATCACTGACATGGACTGGTAATAAACTAAATAATGTCTTGGCAGACAAAGGAAATCTAAACTTAAAGCTCATACTCTAACAATCTAAGGCCAATTGAAGGAGGTAAATAAAAACAACTCAAAATCCATTACTCAAACAGAAGTGATTTCGGGCTCTTGAGCAAAAAGGGGACTTTGTTATGATCAATGACAAGAGTAATTTAGGTCAAATTCGGTGGAGCGAAAGCTCTTTGTAGGATTGTGGACTGATTGAAGGGAAGGTAAACAAACTTTCTGCAAATCAGGTTTGGGTCAAAATGACAGATAATTATGGATGTGTAAACCAAACTAGCAGTGAGAGCAACTTAAAAAAGCTTCACGAGGCTGACAGCTAAGCTAACACCAGTGTGTTAAATCAAGGATTATTTCAGGATCAGTCCTATTTTTTTACCATTCTGACTGAGAAAGTTTGTTTTTTTTAAAGACAGAGGAATAAAATGATAAACAGTGGGCTGCTCTTGGTTGCCTCGGAGCTGTTGTTGGTAGGTTTGCTTTGCCCCGATGTGGCAAAAACAGACGTCATAGCGAAAAGAAGAATCAAGACTTTAGAAGATGATGACTGATCGGTGCATCTTATCTTCGCTTCTTATTGATCATAACTGGAACTTTGCGCTCACTGTAGATTGGTTACTGTTGGCACAGTAAGCGTAAAAGCAAAACCGAGCTCAAGGCTCCTCTTCATTCTGCGCAAATGATTTAAATTCACAATCAAAACACATATTTATTTCGTATTATTCAGTATTTGAAGTACTTTTTTCTCCACATTTACTGAGAAAAGCCAGAGAGGCAGCGGAAACAAGTCCTTCATTAAACAACACCTGGGCTGGACTGTGGCCAGATGTGTTTTGTCCACGGTCCACTGCAGCTGTTGTGTAAGATGTGAGAATCAACACGGTGACAGTAGTTAATCATCACTTACTTGTTTTTGACTATGCAAATAAGGGAGGTTGAGTTACGTTTGAGAGCAATAAAAAGGTTTAGTCAATCATATTCTGCAGTTACATAATAATTTTCGGGGAAATTCTTTTCACTCCGTAACATTATTTAGCGTTTATGAATAAGATCGATGCTCCACCGATAGCTGGGCGGGATCCTGGAGGATGTCAAATTCAAGTGGCCTCATGGTGGCCTTTTTATTTGTTGCTGATGAAAAAGAATCTCAACCATTTTGATTGAAAAGTTTCTCAATGCTTCTGTCAGTTTAGCTCCCTCTCAGAAATGTTCCAGGGCAAAGTTTAGTTTTGGCTTTTCTATACTTTCGCTAAAACTTACTTGTGTAAAAGTGTAAATGTCCACTTCCTTTTCTACTTCGTGG